GGGCCCAGAACTGGGCACAGCACTCAAGGTGTGGCCTCACCAGTGCCAAGTACAGGCAGACAATCACTGCCCTAGTCCTGATGGTAAGAATCACAGAATGGTTTTGGTTGGAGGAGACCTTAAACTCATCTTGTTCCATCCCCCTGCCCTGGACAGGGACACCTTCCACTAGATCAGGTTGCTCAGAGCCCCATCCAGCCTGGTCTCAGAGCTGTCCCCTCACATCTCAGTGGGCTCTGAGGGCACCGTCATTTTGAGGGCAAAACCAGAGTTGCTCAGGGGGGCAGCTCCCTCGCCTCAGCCCCATGACCGCCACTGCTGTGGTATCTGGGGTGCTCGGCCTCCTCTGCCCTCGGCCGCTGACTCACATCAGCCTATGAAGCCCTGAGTTGGCTCCAAAGATGTAAATTCACCCTGCGAGGAGCCTGAGGGTGCAGGAGTGACTCAGAGGGCAGAGGGAGCCTTGCTGGTTTGGCAGGACACCTGTGCCGGGATGTCCTGCAGCCACCAGGGTGCTCGCTCCATTTGCACCCTGGTTTTCCATGAAGGCAGCAACGTATTTGGGAGAACAATCATCTCCTGGTTCACAAAGTGGGTGAGGAAGACAGAACACCCATGAGTACTGAATGGGTTGACATGAACAAAGTGGGTGCAGCTACCCCTTCTTCCCAGTAAAAACCCTAAATATATACCTATCACTTTCAGTTTCACTGTCTGTGTGTGCAGCCATCATCAATCTGGGCTCAAACCAGGCTAAATGTTCTAACTTCCCCTGTAGTTGTGAGATAATAGAACCACAGAATGATTTGGGTTGGAAGGGACTTAAAGCTCATCCAGTTCTAACCCCCTGCCATGGGCAGGGACACCTTCCACTATCCCAGGTTGCTCCAAGCCCCGTCCATCCTGACCTTGGACACTTCCAGGGGTGGGGCAGCCACAGCTTCTCTGGGTAACCTGTACAAGGGCCTCACCACACTCATAGGGAAGACTTTCTTCCTAATATTACTATCCTACACTTCACTGATACATGGAGGGCCGTGTAGAATCACCTAGAGCTTCTGTGAGCACACCCATCACACACAGCCATGTCCAAGGAGAGCAGCTGGCTTAGCATGGTTATATTAGCTCCTCATCCCAAATCTCAAGTACAGACAGGACCAGAGCTCTGGAATTTCCAGTTACATGTATGCTTCAGGAATTTTGTTCATAGAAAATGTGTTTTAAAGATAGCCCACAAAGGAAGATGAATAAGTTGCTATTTTCTTCCTGCTTGATTGTTGCCATTTAAGGCCATGAATTACATTAGGGGTTAATTGGGGGTTTCACTTAGAAATAGCAAGTGCTTCAAGTCTTGATTATGTATTTTGCTTCTAGGCCTATGAGAGGGGTCTGGAATCAAAGAGGAAAACCTCTCTTAACCTTTAGATGAGGGAGAGCCTCAGTAAGAGGATATGTACCTGCTTTGTTTGTCATGTGTTTCACTTAAATAAAAGGTAATGACAAGTTAAATCTGGAGGCCCTTCAGTCAAGACCGACTTGTTTGACATCTGGGAAAAATACCAACCTACCGTATTTGCAGTCATCAGGGAAAGCAGAGACCAGGGTGGAGGAGAGCTGCATTTCCAATGCAAATGGTAAATAAAATCATCAGGGAGTCCCAAAGGCAGAGTAAAGGCCCTGCCCAGAGAGCCAGGGCGGCTGGAGCAGCTGGAATTAGGAGTAGCCACAGGTTCCCTCCAGCCCTGGGGCATACATGGACCAGACAGCAGCTGACAACCCCAAATAAGAACTGGGAACAGAGAGGTGTAAGGATCTCCTGAGGAGAAACCAGGCTTTGTAAGAGGAGCTGCATTTGAACTTGTGATCCACCAAATAATTGAACAGGGTACTGGTGCAGATAAGACATGGAGGTTGAACATGAGGAGGTAGCAGGTGATAAAGGAGGAAGGAAATGAACAACTACACTGAACTCTGGCATTTCTCTTGATGGCCCTGGGAGGTGGCCAGACAGAGCAAGTAGAAACCCTCCCTGCTGTGCCTCATTTCAGGAATGCTCTTCTCCATGTGGGCACCTGGGAGCCTGCTGCGAGGTTGGGTTCTGTTCAGGGCTGGGCCATCTCAGGGCAAATTTTGGTCATCTTACAACTAATACAAGTTTTCTAAGGAAGGCAGGCACATACCATGCTGTTCCAGTCCAGGTAGGCAAACAAATTAATACCACTGTCAAGATATTTTGCTCTGTATTAAGCAAAATCTCTTAACTGTTCAAGGCCAGACTGACCTGGGGATTTTATATTTTTACCTCTGAAAAGTCTTGCTTCACTTCCCTCCTCTGATTCCCAAGACTGATACAACCTGGACATGTTTTTGACAGCGTGACTAAAGCCCAGCTGGACTGCAGCAGCCAGAACACTTGGTATGCTTGGGTGGAGTGCTAGCTCCACTGCTGGAAGTGATTCTCAATCCTTGATACAGTTTAATACTGTAAGGCCTGCTAAAGTGGATTACAGATGGGTATAATGCAAGTCAGGGCAGGCTCCAGGTCAGCAATCCTGCAAGGAACAACTTCAGAGACCAGGACTGCTCCTGCCCCAAGCACAGCCCGTACCACAGTCCCATCCCTGACCTGGTACCTCAGAAAGGCCATTTTCTGAAGGTGATGTTTTGCACCTTCTACGGGGACTTCTACAAGGAGGCCAGTGTAGTTTGAATGCTCTGGGATTTCCTGGGACTTTTGCACGCAGCCAGCTGGCACCTATTCTAGAGGAGCACATGCTCACTAACGAGAGAACAGGACCCTCCCCGTTCAGGGACCGTTTCTGGTCAACTGTCCCTGACACAGCTGAGAGACAATGAGGCCCTTCAGGGCTAAATCCTGAGAGCTGCAACCATCTCCTTTGCCAAGGACATCACTAATTCCCGGCGGTGGCTTGATTCCATAAGCAGCTCAGTGAGGTGACTTTCCAGGTCACCAGCTAATTGCAGGTGAAGTGCCAGTGACTGTCTCCAGCAGGATCGAAAGTTGGGAGCTCTGAGGGAAGGAAGGACATAAAACGTGTTTGCTCAGCTCCCTTGAGCTGAGCCATCACTCCTGGGGCAGCTACAGGGAGGCAGGAAAGGGCTGGGTGGCTTGCAAGGATCTACAGCCGAGTCCCGCCGTCTCTGCAGCCTGAGGAATCCTGGAGTGTCATCATGGCTGAACCAGACAGGGGGACGCGCTCAGGCCGGCCCGTGGGTGGACTTATTAAACCTCCTGGTCTCCCCACAACCCCTGGCTATTTTTGTGCTGGAGAGGAGGAGGAGGTAGCCAGGGCACTGATTATTCCCTACACGTCTTCTCCTTTGAGTCTAGCATGGCTAGAGCCAGGCCATGGCTAAAC